TATCGGATGTTCCTTACCTCGTGATTCATCGTCGAGCTCGAGAGATTCTTTCTTCCCCTTTGGAATCATTCCCCTCGAAATTCACGATCGAATTTCGTCGAATTATTTCCCGGATGTTGGCGAATTTGACGCGTTTCTTAGTATTCGATCGGAAATGCTCGTAATCGGGACTCGATTCGAGGAATATTTATTTCCGATTGGATGGAGGATGAAGTTAAATGGGAAGAATGTATGTTTAAGCGATGGATATGCTTACGCTGGCGCATAATGCGGATACTCGAATGGAATTGATTCGAGCAGATTTTAGTTTAGTAGAGGAGGGACGTTGCTGTGAACAATGAAGTATCGATTCGCCCCAATAGAATAAATCTATCAAAATTCCTTTGAACGTTAAAGCACCTTCATCCACGTTATATCCTATATAATTTTCAGGTCATTTGATGTTCAATGATATTCAAACTGGTGGATAGGTTAACGAGGATTAAGTGATTCATTTCGTTTCCTAGAAAATCGGTCTAACGGATTAAAATTTTAACGTGTAGAGAAAATTTCGTTCAACTTTCACGAAAATACGAAGCTTGTTGAAATTATTTTATTCGCTGTTTTTCTGAAATTTAAAAAGAGGGATTAATTGAAATATAAATAACAACGTTGAAATTTTATTCAAGTATTGACAAATCCTGTTCAAAAGTTTCGAAAGCAATCATATTTTTCCAGACAGAATATTCAAAATTTGTTTAAATTCAATTAAAAATAAGATAATGAATATTTTTGATAAAGCAAAAATTTAATTTTAACTTATGCACGCGATTATTTTGTCGTCTTTCTATCGATATATTTTTCTATCATCATGCTTTAGATATTTTTATTCAGAGATTTCTTTGCTGCTTTCAAACTTTTGAACAATAATATCCACTTTTTTTATTGTCCCACAACAACGTTAACAAAATTAAATCGTAAACTGAAAATTTGAAAGGCAAACACTTAGGCAAATTGCAGATGGCCGTAAATCATTATGCCAGTAAATGCGCCAGTGAATGCATCGAATTAGGGTGAACCGAAATCAAACCGAATCAAAGCCAAATCAAATCGTTAAAGGGCATTCGTAACAATGTGTACAGTTAATGAGCCAAATGATGATAACGATGACGCTTCGCACATCGAGCAAGTATTTCTTCTTATTTGTGCCACTTCGTAAAAATTCACCAATCATAATAATAATAATAATAATAATAATTAAACGATTTAACGTTCAAACAAAATTTCCAATCAAACATATCACAATCAAGATTAAAAAAAACACTTTACAATATTATTTTGCGATATAATTTTGATTAATTAAACTTAATTAAATGCTCACTAACTTGATCTTACCTAGCAGGCAATTTAGCCAACAGATCTGGCAGGAGACGCACTGTGAGAGAGATCTGTTATCGGACAGGAGAGTTTAGCGGTTTCCTTGATCCCAGCGTGGATGTCTCTGACACGTATATCTTCACCCGTGCACATCCGTATCTGTCCTGACCTTCAACCCTGATGTGTGATCCCCAGGTTAGATCGTGTCCCTATCTTTCCATTCTGATTAAACGATTCAACTCTTCTTTGCCTTCCAAGTCCTCGATAATTTTTTATTTCTTCTTCGATATATCACGTCCATTCGGTGTTTTAACCCGTTTACTCTTTGATTTTCATCTTTTTCCATAAACTGAAAAATTAAAATCTTCTAAAACCCTCGTTTCGATAAATTTATATTTTCTTTAATAAAATAAAATCCATTGTAAATCGTTAATTATATGCATTTCGGGAGAACTGATTCGTTAAATTATGTGAATAATTTCACTTTTATATTTCATTACGCGTATATTTTATTTAGATCGATTTAAAAAAAAGATCGAACAAAAATTTTTCCTCCCCTGTTTCGATTTATATTTATTTCCCAAGCAATTCTCCATTACATGTTACATGTTCTATAAATCAACCAACATCTTTTATCATCTTACATTTTCGTAATGAGTTTTTACATGCGATCGAGGACGACGATAATACACGGATTTCTATTGCTTCCTCAGGATTGATCGATCGTTCTTTACAGAACGAGTTCCACCATCTGTCGAGTATTTCTCGAGCTCCGCAGTTTTGCTCCTACGTGGATCGTTTCCTTGAATTTCATCTGTTACGCCTGGAATATCGAACAGGTTATTAAAAGTATGCGAAGCATTATAAAATTCGCAGAAGCAAAATGCCCCTTGCTTTTTGGATAAAATTTTTATCAAAGATATCGCTTCTCGTATTTCTCTCAAGTAAATTCTCCAATTAATCTTCATTCTCTCTCATTTTCGATGATAAATTTAAGAATCAAATATTCTTGTTAACGTTGTGGTAAATAGGAGATATTTGAAAACTTTATGAGGAAGCAAATTTTTTTCGAAGACTTATCAAGGATTTTTCCATCCACCGAGTGCAGATTATAAATTATGGTCGAATCATGTTTACTTTATCGTCCGGCACGATTAATTATTTCCTGACGATTAATTACTCTCAACATTTCTCGGCAATTAATTATCATTAGACATCCCCCGTTTGCCGTTGTAATATTACGGAGCCTGAAGCTTGCAATTTTTATCTTCGCTTGTGTTTCACACACATTATTAAGTGCGTGTTCATTTCAACGATATCTTCGAGATAAATTCATCTTTACGAAAAATAAAAATGAAAATAAAATATCGATGATTTTTCGATACACCAGTGTAGATTTGACCCAGTTTTAAAAATTCGGTGCAATTTTTTATGGAATATATCTGGAACGAGAACGGAACAGAATAAAATGAATTATTTTTACCAATCGAAAGTGGAAGTATCGATCGTATACGACGATTAAATTGATTAATTTTCCAAGAGATTGCAATGCGCCATTATTCGAATTTGCAACGAGGTTCGTTTACGATATAGGTATGAAAATGAAAGTATCATACGGAAGGTAATATCGCTACGATGGTACAGCATTAATCGGTTAGAATTTCTGCGAGGCTCGTGCAGCAATGTATTAACAATTTAACGAGCCGACACCTGCGATAGCTATTATAACACAATTATATACAACGCTTCGCGCTGAGGTGTGTATTGCGAATTCGTGCGCCAGACTGTATCCGTACGATAGAATGCAAAGTGAATTGCTTGAGCTCATAGGTCTCGACATAAATTTTCTCGTTATTCCCTTTCTTGGCAAAGATTATCGAATATCTATATGCATAGATAGGTTGTAATGGCGCGTAATAATAATTCATTGGGATTTGTCATGAATACTCATATTATGAGATATAAAATTTGATGTTGGGTATTGATTTTTTTTTTTTTTTAAAGAACGTTATACTTTTATTGTTTTCGTGATAAAAGAAAGATATTTCTCGATGAAATTTTGAGGCTATACTCATATACTACGATAATAAGTAGATATAAAATAGAATTTGTTAATATTTTTCGTGCAAATATGTTTGTCACGAATATAAATCATAAATGAAAAATCTGGGAGCGAGTTAAAATATCTGCCTCCACGTTGCGAATCTTCCTAGTCGATGTGAATGTTGGATAATTAAATTTTTACTGCACGTAGCATGTAATAGGTATGAAGAATAAAAGAACGAAGGAAATTTAAATTAAGTTTGTTAAATATTGCAGAATATTGCCCGTACAATTTATAATTTACGTATAGTATATATATTATATATATATATATTATATATAATAATTATTATATTGCGATGTCATTTTCAAGACTTGTTTTAATTATTAAATAATTAATAATTTAATGCTTTTAATATATTTTGATATAATCATTTCAAGCATTTTAATGGTTTAATCAGTTTAACATTAGCTTTAGATTATTCAGGTATATATTAATTAAATGTAAAACAATATTAGAGCGCTTTCAAATTACACGATTATTTTGTAATAGTTAAGAAAATAATTATTTTATCATAAAAGTTTAATTATTTGGAAATTTTTGTTGCGAAATTTTATTATAAATATTATTTAATTTATTACTTTTCAAAAATTTTTTATTCATTATTATGATCTTTGATACATTAAAATTTATTAAATGCTTGGAAGTTCATGTTATAATATATTAAACACAATAAATTTACAGAATGTTAATAAATGTTTTAAATGTTTTGTTTCATATTCCGCGGTTTAATTCGCAGTAATTTTTAGGGTGGCATTACTGCTCTCTATCGGTGGCGCGCGAAAATAATATGAAACGACATTTTATATCTTTCAATTGACGCCATTACGCTTCGCGCCAGATGCAATCGACGAACAGTGTACCAAGCTCTGTGATTTTTCGTGTTACATAAGTGGTTCGTGTAATTTCCATCGCCACATGTTCTTAAAAGTGTTCACACAAGATCCAATCATCGAAATATTCAAGGTATTTAATAATTCTAATCCTTTATATATCATTTGAAATAAAAATTCGTTGCGTGTATAACCACGGTATGTCCAGAATGCTTTTCACATATATACGACTTCATTTTATCTATAAAATTATGTTTAACGCTTCAATTTTTATTCAATTTTTATTAAAATAACTCATTATTGTCAAATATTTCAATTCTATAATCTTAATCAGAAATATCATAAAGTTTCGTAAAGATATCGAAACGATCGAAATATTCGAAACAATCGAAATATTCGATGTATAATTATGACACGTAATTGACATGATATTTAATTTTTTGAATAATTACGAATAATCATAGAAGGTAATTAGTCGTAAACATCGTATATCTGAAAAAACATTCTGATTTTATACGCGTTTATTGCGCGAAATTAGTTGCGAAAACTTCGGGCAGGTTCGTTTCGTCTTTGCGGCGTTCGGATAAGTTCGGTGGCACGCACGCTTTAGATGGTGGCGCGCACGTTACGAAGGGCAGTTCGCCTCCGGCCGTCGTGGAGTACGAACGTTTAATATATTTTTCGAGTAACGCGAGCCTTTATTACAGCTGTGTTATATTTTCGTGAAAGTTTAGTGTATAAATGTGTTATTGATTATTATTTTTTTTACAGTATCATTTATACGCTGTTCAACGTGACAATTCGTGAAGAATAGTGATCGAATGGTGGAGTCATCAGTACAGTCGACGTGTGTCTGGATTTTTACGAATCGTTTGAAGTATAGGTATGTACCATAGATAATTAAATATTTTTAATTAGTTAAAAAAGCGAAATTATAATACAATATTGTTAAATGGTAGTCTTTATTAATAATATGGATAGAATTTAGAATTATTTTTTGTTTATTCATTATTTATATCATTGATAGTGCATGTATTTCGAATTAAAGAGGTTATAGTAATTAGATTTCAAAATTAAATAATGAAAATTGGTTATATTTGAATATTGGTTTGAATAACTTGTAAAATATGCATTGTTAATGCATAATTTGTTATATTTATTTGAGTTAATGAATTCAATATTTTTTTTCTATCAAAATTAGAAACATAATTTTTATTATTGTGATTCTAAATTTGGCAGAAACCAATATTGAATTTTTTCTTTGCATCGAAATTTTTATAATATGCGTAAATGTAACACGAGCGTTGATTTAACAAAATTATTCATTTAATAATAATGAAACGCAATATTCTTCTTCGTGTACGATAACATTTTCATTCAAAGACCTAAACATAAACATAAAAACCTAAGACTATTCGGTGGCTATAGCAAAAACGGTGTAGATAAACATTCTAATTCTTGGAAGTCGATTAGAATTGTATTTAGTTTTTGTTTATTATTCATATCGCAATACGAAGGTAATATTTTTCTTTTCTGAAGAAAGTTATATCTTTCTTTTTCATTCTCATTTTTAGTAGAGTACGATTTAACTTTTACAATTAGATTTACAATCAGAAATTAATTGGAAATATTAATTAATTTGCAATTATTTGTTTCCTTTTTCAATCTAATTCTATTTGAAATTAAATTACAAATTACATAAATTAAAATTTAGAAAAGTAATAATCTTTGTATAAAATCTTTTCTATAAAATTAATCGTTCACGAAATTTGACAGATACTTAATTATCCTATGATTAATAGAACTTACAGAATGATCAAATTATTCATCTATAATTAATAATTCCGTTAACGTATCTGTATCTTCATTCATCTTATCCAATTCATATTTAATTCCCCGAATATTATTAATTGGGCAAGAAATTAGATATATTTTCAAACGCGATGGTCAAATTTGTTAATTATTTTAAATAAAATTCTGTAACTCTATCGAAAATTAATTATCGGATAACAAGGAACTTCCGATTTCGTGAATTCTGAGGTAATAAATATTATAAGATTTAGATAAATCGTAAAAATTCGCGATAGGTGAACTATTATCTCTGTCTAGATGATTCACAGAGCGGAGAAATAAACGGCTCGATATTCCCTTGTGTATTCGCGAGTCGTGGTACGCCACATTTTCCCCACAAATTGTTTACGTCTTTTATTTCCGGAAAGTGAGCTACGCTGTTACTGTTCATACTGTCACGATCCTGTCAGTATGCTCGTAGAGAATTGATAAATGATAGCGTTGGAATAATTGATAACGTGATAACGTGAAAATCTTACGTCTTGGGGAAATTTTAATTGAATAATTTTGAATTTTAATTCTTATTAGTTAGATACACGAGATGTTTCGAAATTATGTTTGTTGAGAAATTTGGATCAATGAAACGCGGATAAAGGCAAACGAGATAGTACATTATTTTAATGAACGTTAATTAATTATCTTTATTTTAGATATTTTAGAAATTTTAATAGTTAGAGGAAGAAGAAAATGTTTTTTCAAAGGATTTCTTTTGAAAAAATATTTTTATGTATTATTATTCGTTTTGATTATTCTTCAAGCTCACTTTCATTTGTGTTATAATATTTTATGTAAAATTTAAAAACGTCTATGATCTTTTTTTTTTTATGTTAATGAACGTTTCGATTGTCGTTGGTTGCAAAAAAAAAAATACCTAGAATATTGTGACTTGAAAAAGCTTTTGAAAACTGGGTTGCGTTTAAACCTCTTTTAGAATTCAGCGAATCGTCAGGACAAAGCTATTCGTTTCCACCGCGTTATTTATTATAGCTTTTTCAAAAAAAAAATAAATAATAAAAAATAAAAAAAACAGTTGGAGGCTTAAAAATTGTATTTACGATGAAAAATATATTTATAGTTCGTTTTAAATGAATTATTAAAAAAAAATTATCTTTATTTTTATTCATAGAATTTTTCCAAAAGTTTTCTTCTTTTAGTAACAAATGCTAAGATTCCAGGGAATTATAAATTTTCATTGTATTAAAAATTTCATTTTTAACAATTAAATGTACAAAACATAATAAATATTTTTCTCAGAAGCAAATTTTCAAAAATTCAAAAAATTTTGATAAATGCCAATAGTCAGAGAACGATAATTTCTAATCTCTTAGATTAGAAATTTCGTTTATAACAATTTAATTATATTTATAAAATAGATTCAAAGTTAAAAATGAAAAAGAATTAAATTATTTCGACAAATTTTTATATTCACAAAATTTTTTGATTCCATTAATATTGATAAATATAAAATTTATCAATGGAAATTAACTTTTCATTAAAAAAATTTTATTCATTTCCCTCCAATTCGTTTAATTAAATATTTTTTAATTGTACATTTAAATCGAACTATCCTAAACAAACTTGGCACAATGAGATCGACGAGTTTTAACAGAAATAATCATAAGGAGGTACGCATTAATTTATTTTAACCGGTATCTACGGAAATCGAGGAATTTGAAAGAAACGGGGAAACGAATGGAAGAATGCTGGTCGTTTATTCGAAATTGTTCCGTGGATTTCCCGCCGCGTAGCTTAACTATCAGGAGGAGACGTGCAACCGACTCCCTTGGGAAATTACGAATTACATGTTTTTCAATTAAATATACCGAGACTCGTCCATGGGGAAATACAGACGTTGTACGCCGAGAGGGGTGACGAAAAATCAGCCGCGAGATTCGTGTTTACTCGTTGATCGAGAATTTCGTAGTAATTTTATTAAATTTTATTAAATTCGATATCGATATCGAAAGGGAAAGCAGTTTATTTTTAATTACGTACATTGAATTTAATATATATTTTATTAATTTAGATTTTTTTGAGAATAAAAGTAATTAGTTTTGTGAAATAATGGAAATTATATGGGCGTTGATCGAATTACAGCTTGTTTGTAGGGTTCTTAAAAAAGATTATATATATTTTCAATATTTTTATAGAATATTGAAAGTATTTTTTTTCGTTGTTTTCGATTAATTATGTTCTTAAAATAAAATTGGGATGGAGATAAAATTATTTGTGTTTAGAGTGAATTTTTTTTTTTTTTTCATATTTATACGATTCAGAAATTAATTTCATTTTGTAAAATTATCGGAAATATTCTTTCGTTGGTTGTTTTGGGATTTAGTAATTAATTTATATAATTTATAATATATTAGTTTTAGAATAGGAAGATTATTTATTGGAATTGGCAACAATTATACGTTTTTACAATATTTTCGCGACAATGGAAATTCACTATCTACATTGTGTCTAAAGAGAACTGTATAGGAAAATAATTGATTCAGTTTATTCTTTTTTCCTTCGCGAAGATTAATCTTACATTGTAAAACGGATTACATCCATCGTAATAGATTATTTTTAATGATAAAACGATACAAATGATTTCACGATGGGTATTACACCATGATTGATCACCGACTCTTATTGAATTTGTCCAAGGATAAATTGCCATTCCATTACTCACGAGAGTTGTGCGAGTTGTATCGAAATCGGATAAAAATATTGCAGATCTTTCAAATTCCCCCGATAATTTTTTAAGAAACGATAGAAAATCCGTTTTAAAAATACAACTTGATTTCCACGAAAAATCAGAATTTCACGTGGACGAAATCCACAGTAATATCTACATATTACGAAATTCAACTAACGAGAGGGAAAATCATACATCGTGGAATGAAACGTTGAATATATATTTTCCAATTCATTTTTCCTTCTCGTCTCTCTGTATTGGCATTTTTCCAATAACGTGTTTACCTTTCGTGAATCAACAGTTTCCTTTTTTCCCTCCCCCTCCAACCGATTCCAATTACAAGATCATTTTCCCATCCGCCATTTTATACGAATCTTTCTCAATGCTCAGCTTTAATTAATTGAAAAAAAAAAAGGGAAAAAAAAGAAGGAAAAAGTGTTGTTAGAAGTTGGAATGGCCCAGAAAGGATACTCGAAAGATTTTTCTTGTTAGGAAGCAGTTTCGAGTGGTTGTTTAAGTCCGTTCCGCAAACGCTAGGCCTTCACGTTCCATTTTACTCTCTCCCCTTTTCTTCTCTTTCTTCCTCCATTATTTCTCTCTTCCTTCCTTCCTTTCACGGATCGTTTCTTAAGTAGCGGGTAATTAAAAGTTCGAACCAACCACGATTCAACGGGGGTGGAAGGATCGGCGCTTCCTCCTCCCCTCGTTGACGAGTGACGCCGAGGATAGTGGCGATAGCTCGTGACTTTTTCTCGGCCACCCTCTTGTTTCCCTTTTTTACCGATCGAGCTTTTTGCCGAGAAAGTTTCCACCCTGCGCCCGAGGTCGCGACAGGTTCGACGGCCCGACGAGAAAAGTTGAAAAATTCCAACCGCGGTTTCTGAGCGAATGCCTACGGTTGTCCCACAACGTTCTTTGATGTTCTCTCGCCTTCTTCGAATGCTCTTCACCCGGGACCCCGGAAAAACTGTCGTCCCGCTTTTAAAACGGGGAAAACTTCTCCCTCGGCGGTTACCAATGAATTTCGACTGAAAGAGATGAAAGCAGCGCGGAGCATGGCGAGGGATTTAATTACTTCTTTCAGACGTGATTTCTAGGTTAGTTCGTTCCTTTTGACCTAGTACATATAAATATGCGTGGTGTCGTTATAATTTATGATTCGATCATTTCGATTTTTTCTTTTTCTTAGAGAAATTTTTGTTTAAATATTTTTAATAGTAGCGATTAATGTCATGATTCTCGTGATGCAAAATTAACTTAGAACATTTAATTGTTATATCATCGTAATTCGACGTATAATTTTCGAATATTAATGAGATAATAATAGTAAGGATATCTGATAAAATATGCGGGGAAGTTGGAAAGAGGGTTTGAAAGAGGGTTGAAAAACGTGGCATTCTTCATTGGAGCATTGCCCTCTGGATAAGTGGGGGATGCGTTAATGGGTTTCTAGTTATGTGGAAAAACCATTAAAACGTTTTCCACCACTCGAAGAAATTAATTCCAATTGCTATTATCGCGGCTAGGTTGAAAAAGGGTGCCTACCATCTAGCTAGTGATCACGGTGTGTGGGAAGGGATACCATTATCGCCACCGCATTTTCTACCTCGGAGAAATCGCGAATTCTTTTTTCGTACTTGGCATTCTCGCGTACTTATGGAATAATCGAATAATGGGAAGCAATACGATTCCTATTCTAATGTCATTGATGTCCGTTCCAATTAGATTTTTATGAATGAATGACATAGGAGAAATGTTAATATGGTAGATATTACGTTCGCTGTGAAACGAGTTTATTCTTCAGGTTATGAATTATCTTTTTCAAAAATATATTATTCTTAGAGTTAGTTACATACATATATATAGACGTAGAGATTTTATATTTTATTTCCATATATTTAATTTTTATAGTCAATCGAAAATTTGAATACTTTTTGTAGTTATTATTGTATGTAATTGATAAATTAATTATTAATTAGGTATTCAAATTTTCTGAATATTTTTCATAAAATATATCGATCGTTTTTCAACGCGAAATTGTTTTCGATTGTTGATATTCGAATTTAATAAACGGCTCGACTACATGCTCGACAAACGTGCCCCGATATTTTTATAATCGATCGTAAATATTCATTTTTACACCGGTGGAAGATAAAAATAATAAACGTTCGAACTGGAAAATGAGTACGAGAGCGTGTCGACACCTTTTATACACAGTACGCTTCTCTTTGTTCCATGGAACAGTAATTTTTACATAGTTTACGCCATATTCTCGATCGATACGATCTCTATTTCCCCCGTCTAAGTCTTTAATATCTTGAATCCCTGATATTATCCTTCTCATCTCGTCCATGCTTCGAGAAATAAAGATCTTTCATTGTTATCCTCTCTTTCTCATTCCTTCTCTCCCTGTGACCCAGTTAAAGGAATAAAATGGCCCTCTAAAAGGAGCTCATTAAAATATTCTTGAATAAATCGACCTCTTTGCTAACGAAGCTTCGACGATCCCTCCAAGATTCCAAATTATAACCAAATTATAAACAAGAAGGGAAAGAGAAACGGAAAAAAGATACAAAGAAAAGTAGGTTAACGATCGAAAAGTTCATCGATGAATCAACGATGTTGAAAAGGGGGATACAAATTATAACCAAGCTACAAAAAAAAAAAAAATAAAGAAAAATCGTTGATCGATGGATCAAACGATGCTTGAAAAGGGGGATACGAATTGTAACCGAATGAATGAGAAAAAGAGAGAGAGAGAGAGAGAGAGAAAATAAAGGAAAAGTAGGCCAACACGATCGAAAAGTTATGGGTCGACGGATCAATGAAGGAGAAGGGGGGTACGAGGCAATTTGCGAGGCGCTACTTTCGAAAATCCTAGGATTTCAATGAGCGCCACAGCTGCTTAGAACGAGCGAACGATGTAAACTTCTCTACGGGCGGAAATTCGCGTGACAACAGGAAGTAGTGTCGTGGGAGAGAGGTCTATATTTACGAAGACGGAAATATATTCTCGCGCAAGTAAATTCGCCCGTTTACGTCGCCCACTTCGAAAAAGCTTCATTTCACCTTACATGCGCGTCCCTCAAACGTCACCTCCGCTAGGGAAACTCCCTTACAAGCTTGCGGTTTCATCGTATCGTAAAATTAAACCGAATGCGAGATGTACGAGGCAGCGAACATCAAACATTCGTGCTTAAGATCAGAATCGAAGATGGGTAAAGGGATGGAGAGAGAGAGAGAGAGAGAGAGAGAGAGAGAGAGAAAGAGAGAGAGAGAGAGAGTTTTATGGCATGATTTATCTCTGCCATATTCGATGAGGAGAAGGTGGAGGAATCCTAGGATTTTCGATACTTTGCTCGTGTATCATTTGTATATATTTAGTGAGCTGGTGTAGATTGTTGTTGAGAAATATTTTTCTTAAAGGGACACACTTTTTTAATTTAATCAGTTACGATTTAATCATTTATTTATTTGATCATTTATTATTTCATTTCTTTGAATTTGTTATTGTAAAATAAGATCATGATATGTTTCCTAGTAATAATGTATAATACACAATTATTTATTATAAATAAATGATTAACGTAGCTTACCAATGGAATCTGAAAATTAGTTTTTCAGAGTAAAATATAACTTTATATACGTGGGAGTAATGTGGGTTAATACATCAGGGGACTGGGATTATTACAGGCATTAATTAAAGAAATTTGAGAAACAAGAATTATGGCGCAAGTAATGGATATTACTAAAAGAAAAAAGCACATATGAAACTTTATTCTATCATTCATAAAAGTATAGATAGAAATTTCACGTCTACGATTCGAATATAAATTTTTAAACGCTCATTTCATTTTTCTAAAATAATTATACTGCTTCAAAAATAATAACAATTTAATAGAATAACAGAGTATTAACAAAATGGACATTTTAAAAAAATATTATCTAACTCTTCAAAATTATTTAATTCAATTCAATTATCAAAATTAATTTATCATTCGATCGTTAACTTCAAAAAATTTCATCAGTTTCTCTCGTTTTTGAATTTCGCGTCAAAAAGAAAGAGTTAGAACGCGAGCAGGATAATTTGCAGATTATTTTAATTGGATCCCGTTACCCCTCCGGAAAACATAAGAATCGAATGAAATCTGGCGTGCATATGTCATCCATAAAGTGGTCGGCCATGATCGTTAGCGCCGCTGGCCATTTAAAACAAATTCACGCCGTGGTTTTTCATCTCTGCTTTTTTCCCCCTTTTCGTATCTAGCCAGATCGTTGTCGGTCTGATCTGTTTCGCAGTCAACGAATTCCGTACGCGTCCGTGTTGGAACATCCGGTGTTCCGACACCAGCATCGATAAAACTAGCTCAGTGACGTTTCTGATCCGGTAAACAACTGGCTGGCACTATTCTTTGTTCAACCAAATGCCAGTTTCGAAAACGATGAACGGCCGTGTCCCATCAGTGCTCTGGCATCGATCAGTTTTACTTTATTTTTTTCTTTTTTCTTTCTTTCTTTCTTTCTTTCTTTCTTTTTTCTTTTTGTAAGAACGATTCCATTGAAATGCGGCTGTCGGATGTTAGGAAATGAATTCTAATGTTTGTTGTAGAGATATCTTTATTTGGAAAAATGATGTTCAGTTATTTTATTATTTGAGAAAGATGTATTTCTAGGAATTAAATATTTTTGATATTTTAATTTAAATTTTATTTAATTGTAATTTTAGAATAGTTTGAAGAATTAGATCTTGGAATTTATAACTTAGTTTGTATTTGCAATCCTAAATTTCAAAAGCTAAATCTTTGGTATTTTCATTCAAATTCTATTTTATTCTAATTTTGTTCATAAAGTCTTAGGTTCAATTAATTTAATTTCTTTTTTATCTTGATTTTCTTTTAGAATATTTTAAAATCCTACATTTTAGAATATAGATTCTTCTAAGATCTAAATCCTCTGGTATTTTTATCCAATTTTTATTTTGAGTTTCTACTTTTTCTATTTTTATTTAACGATAAATATTACGTCAAAATCTTTTTCTCTTTGTCCTTTGTGAAAGAAGATTATTTATTATTTGATCCTGAACGAATGTTACTTTCACTTTGACAAAGTTTTCAAAACTTTCCTCCATTCAATTGTTTATTCGCGATTTCATTGGTGGGAATCAGTGCAGGGAATCCCGAAAATTCTCATTGCGTATTAAATGGCACTTATGGGGTGGTGGCACGTGATGGTCACTGCAACTCCCAAGAGAAACACGATAAAGTCAAACTCGACGGTACCTCGATAACTCGCTTTATCAGAGTTGGATTATTCGCTTTCGTCAAACGAGCACGACTAATCATCAGTGAAATATCCTAAGTATAAACGTGAAAATCGAGATTAGATAAGACACTTTGACTATTATGCGTTTCGATGATTTTCCTTTTTTTACAATCTCAAAATTTTATAAAGAGAAACGAGCATTAAACACGATTGATTTGATAATTATTTTATATTAAAAATTATTGGATATTAAAAATTATTGGATAACGTAATTTTACTAACCAATCTCTTTGAAAAGATTTCCAAATTCAATTCGATTAGAATATCGTTATCAGAAAATTATTAAAATCAAAAACTTTGATTACAATTACAATTAAATAATTACAATTAAATCTTCATTGTATTTTTCCAGAGTGCTTAATATACCAACGATGGAATGGCTGGAGAGCAGCATTCCTTCGTCCAAGGACACACGATGATGGATACGTGAAAGTTTGAGTGCGACAGTGATGCCGGTAAAATAGGACAAGCGTATATCGATAGATTTGTGGACAAATCGTATAAGAATGTGTCGAAGTTCGGGAGAAGTTTCCAGTGGAAAAGAAAGGAGAGGATCGTTGAAATCGGCGAGGTGATTCCTTGGGGATAATAGAATGTCTTCCTGAAGAGAACGAGGAATCTTATAGACGAAGATGTGCTGCTCGGCCGGCCCTGGTGGTATCAGATTGACCAGGTGTGGTGTCGTATGCGGAATTGCAGCGCTTGCAGCACTGAGCACAGCGCTTTTGGGCCCTGCTTGGCTTCACACCGAGGAGAAGTTGAATATTCCTCAATTATCCCATAATTTGGCCAATGGTGTGAGTGTGCGTTTCAAGTTGGGTCTATTCAGGGTCTGCCCTATGATCGTGAAGCCTGCCAATCTGACAGTCCGTGAGTTTCTTTTTTTCTTTTTTTTCTTTTTATATTGTTACAACTTTTAGAATTAAGAATCTTGAATTAAGAATTAATCCTGTAACGAGGATTAATTCTATATCAATGATATTCTATGCCAATTGTTCAATTCTTAAGTTAGAAGCAAGGGAGATTTACAGTTAGATTAAATTCATAGAACATTGATTAGAAATTAAAAAAGGTGTGAGTAACAATTTTATTCGCACGACGAAATTTTCACTTCATTTCCTTAAGGAACAAAGGATAGGATAAGAGGAAAATTGTTAGGATTACAAGACTATCTGCATTCATTAAACTCTTATCTTCTCTACTTAGATCTTGTTAATAGTTTGACAGGATTGCATGACAACGCGATATTTTCTCGTTTTCAACATTTCATCCTTTCCGCGAACATTACTCAAATCAAAACTTTTTTATTTTCTGCGTCAACTGTCCGTGAAGTTTAAGCATAAAACATCCATTCGAAACTCTTTGTCCCCAATTCTTTGATTTTTCGTAAGAATTTTTATTTTTCGAATGAAATAATCTTTACAATCCAAATTCTTTTAAATAAAAATTAAACAAACAATCCAATACCATCATTATCGATCAATCATGTCGTGATAAATTTAAATTTTAATATCATTTCTAATGTTTCAACGATATTATTCAAAATTAAAAATTCACTTTTGCTCACTGTAATTCAATTTTTTTTAAGGAAAAACATATCGCAAAATTACCACCATCGTCCTACAGACAAATTTTTTGTTCAACCATTGGAGGAAAGCCAAACATTGAATCCCGACACACATTTCCAAGAGCAGAGGGGGAGGGAATAAAACGCGACGACGTCAATCCCTAGTAAATCATCCAACCATCCCCCTTCTCCCCTGTAAACTCTCCATCCGTACGGAGATGATGTCTATCAGGCATTTTCACAAAGTCAATATCCAGTCCAGAGTTAATCCCGGAGATCTCTCCCGGTTGATCTTGCAGTCTTCAACAGAATTTCATTCCCGAAAACTTGCCTCTCCCCCTCCCCCTTTCGGTAAGTTCAACACCACGACAAATATAGAAAACATCGTCCAAAGTTCCTCCTCTTCCGTTTCCTCGAAGCCCCTCCGCAATCGCAACTTGGACTGATAGAGGAAGATAGGGGTGGCGAGGGAGGCGAGGGGAGTTTCGAGAACACCTTTATCCAAAGACTTCGAAATTTTCTGTCGGCTTTGCGCCCTTCCCTTCTTATTCCACGAGGAGAAGGAGGAGGGGGGAGGGAATCCCGAAGATTGCCACCGCGTTTGAACTTTTCACGGGGGGGAAGAGGAGAGGACGCGCGATGTCTCCACGAGAGGAAATCTCGTAGGACAGGGAGGGAGGGAGGGTGGGGGCGTGCGCGACAGGCGAAAGGATTTTCAGGAACGGGCGTGGAACGAACGTAAAAACAAATGATAGTGGCTGTAAAGCGGGGTCTCGAGGAAAAGCATGGGGGAGGGAGGGGGGCACGCGGTTACAAGGGTGGTTGCAACCACCCGGACGATGACAATTTCTTTTTATTTTCGTTCCATCCCCTTTCGTTCGTCCGAAGGGGGAAGGGGCTCTCCACTTTCATCCTTTCCCTTTGCCCCTTCCCTTCTCTTCTCCCGACTTGGATCTTGTCCTCTTTCCTCCGGATCTCTCCGGTCTTTTCTTCTCTCCTTGCTTCCTAAGATTTTTTTTTTTTTTGTTCCATCTGTGCAGAGATCGTTTTGTGTATCTTTCGTGGAACGTGTCGATCTTGTTTTTCGCGATCGTGATTAATAATGGTGCGCAAGAATAGGCTTGATAAAATGGACGAACGAGTTTTGTTATTTTTATTCTATACAAAAAATAATCGTGGAGATAATTTGGTTTGGCGTTTGAAAGGGCGTATGATTAGATTATAAATAAATAAATAAATGCAAATTTTATTTTTTTAATTTTATTATTATTTCACGTAGATACAGTTATTATTGTTATTTTAAATTAGAAATTTTTCCAAAATCTAATGTAGATTATGAACAGATGAGGTGAGATAAAAATCTTAAATTATCTTCTTATGAATTCTTCGAGTTAAAATTTGTCGTAAGAAATATTTCAATCCTCCTGTCTCAACAAACTTTCTGCCTCTCGCGTTAGTAAACAAATAGGATTGTACAGTCTTTGAGAACAGATTTTTCCTTGTGCAAATATTTTTAATACATTCCTCCATCGTCCTCGAAAGATTCTCTTTCTAATTAAAAACGACACTGCTTTGAGCTTTCGTCTCGTTAACGCTCCATGCGAGGGCATTCCTGTGCCACAATGATGTAACAAACTTCGGTTAATCTTTTAAGCCGGATAGCCCAAGTTTCGCGTTTCAGTTCGTTCGTTATTTTCTTCTTCACCGAGTGGGGAAGGAAACTCGGATCTTGAGTTTCGATGAATGGAAGGGAAACGGGAAGGGTCAGTTCGTGAAAGTTGCACAAGCGGAGATCCCCTTCATCCTTTCTTCGTGTATGTATTCCCTTGAGGTCTTGTCTTGCTCGATATTATTTTCTTCCTCGATTTCTTTTTTTTTTTGTTTTCTCCTCGTCTCGACGATCCGACGTACCAACACGGATGGCGCAACTGTAAGAAAAATTCATTTATCGAAATCGAACGCGGGGGGGAAATTAAATACAATCGAGAGGAACGATGGTAAATTGGAGATTGGACGTAAAAAGATTTTCATAATAAATTATATAATATCGTAGATTCTTATATTTTCTTGTAACACTTGTTTTCGTTGGTTAATAGGGTTAAATATATTGGAATCGTGATGTATCATGCACGAGATAATAATTGTAGTGTAATTTTAATGTAAATCGAGATTTCGAGATGACAATTCTTCTCTTTTATTAATCCTCCATTATTATATTAGAAATTAATTAGTTAAATTAAAATCAATGATTGAATAATATCTATATATAACAACATCAAACGCATTTATATAGATTAATTCAATTGATAATATCGAAGCATTATAAATGACGGGCTACAGATATGTGTAAACGGATTAATATCGGATACAATTCTTCATCGAATCATTCATAATACTACAAATCATTTCATTATATATATAATCTAAAAAAAGGGAAATACAAGTTAGACTTAGAATTAGGATAAAAAATTATTATTTTGAACACTACTCACCATTTGCATTTTACGAAAGTATCCCTCGATGCCTTCCTTTTTTCCCCATGTTTTCAACAAAATTCCTTCTTTCCTTCCTCTTATATATATCTCTCTCTCTCTCTCTCTCTCTCTCCTCAAACAAGCGAGAAAAGTCTAGCTGGGGCTTTTCCCTCCAGTTTCACACGATTAATTTCCCTTATGCGATCAGAGTCGTTAGACCGAGGAAGATAAATCTGACGTGGCGCCTGGGGATTTCATCCCGGCTCGTTAAAAATGGAAATTACCGGCATTTTAAAAAGCTGATCTCACAGAGCGTGTGGAACAGGGTGGAAAAAGTTGGCGGAATTTGGCCAGGAACTCGTTCTTCCGCAAAATCTACCGGGTCTAACGAGTTCTTATTATCCCCGTCATCGTTTCGCCTTTTCCTTCCACCGATCAATTCTTCTTCCAAGAATCGTGGTTCAACGAATCCGTTGGTATCCGCGGTATTAACTCGTTGATTTCGAATCGCGGTGGTTCCGGAGATCGTTTCGAAAATGGCGAGACATTACTAGTTTTTGGTCTGACCAGTTCAGCTCGTAGTGCTGCTACTGGTGATCGAAATTGGGACAACGTGTTATTGGGGGACAAGGTGTAGAATACGCGTTAGCGCGATTTAATGATCGATGGATTGGTAATTACGATGGATTTAATTATATTGGCGATAGATTTTGATACTTACGTGCGTGGAAAATTGTAGGTCTCGAACGAAGATTTATGTTATTCCATTAGACATAGTTCTTAGAAAAATAATTTAAGGATTTAGAGATTTGATAATTTAATTATTAATTTAATATAATTAAATTTGATTAATGATAAAGGTTCGAAGATTTCAAAATTCAATTCTTTAGTAATTTTTGTAATAAATTAAAGTAAATATTTTTTTATAGACCGATCGATACGTTTTCTTATTTTTTCACTATATATATATAAAATATATATATCGTTGTAAAATGATTACAACACAAGTACAATGATTATAAAATATTTCAATTTTGATTTAGATTTGCAATAGTTTTTCTTCGCGCGCTAAATAGTTTTACGAATTTAGAATTAAAATATTTTTTTTCTAAATATTTTAATCTTTTTTGTTTCAAAATTGAAGTTAAAGAAAATATATAGAAATTACTTCAATCTCTGTTCATTTCTGAAAGATCACGCATCATCATCCGATATCGTTTAATTCTGTTCAACAAGAGATATTTTTCTATCTTCGAGCATTTAAAGAGTGAGCCTAATTGAGCGAAACATCTGGTATTTGAGGGATTTTTGCGTACAAGAGATATATTTCGCGTTAAAATTATACATTTGGTTAAAATAGAAAGTGTATAGGGTACTTTGATGTCTCTGATTATACAGCGTTATTCGTATTAATGATCGGTGTATTATATGTTGCTGACTGTTAAACCGAATTCTATGTCACGTATTGATCTAAATCGGATACAAGGGTGCACTGATTGGCAGACCTGCGAATGATTAAACCACGCTAATTGACCGATTACCGCAATTTCGTGTCAACTAGCGTAATGGTAGTCTTTAAAGTAATCAAATTACGTCATGAACAAGTAACTAAGCTACATATCGGTTTACCTACGTTTCGCGTGAAAATCGCATAGCTGGAGATTAATATCGTGGATAACATGCGATTCATTATTTTCTTTGTTGTTCCATAGAAATTTCTAAATTAAACTGTTTAACGGGCAAGCAATCGAATCTATATGAGAGGTTTTTAATTTTTACAAGATTTTATTTTGAACCAAAGTTGAATTGCAGATAATTTGAACACTTAT